GTGTAGCTGGAGATGCAGGATTTTAGTGGAGAGAGGTGAAATGGAGGTCATGGCCATTAGCAAGAAAGTCAGTGCAATGTTTTACGAATTTTTGTCTGTGGGATGTAGCCAGACACAGTCTATTGTAATTACAGGCCATCTGTCTAAAATTCTTTTGTAGTTTAAATTGGATAGCAGTAATCTCAATTTTCTGTCCTAAGTAGTTGTACAGAGTTGCTGTATTTTACCCCAAAGGTCTCTGCATTTTACTGGTAAGCAAAGCATTAATTGGCTCTAAATCATTTCCTATGAAAGGTGCTCTGTATGTTTTCACTCTTCTTGGTCAGGGCTGGCAGCAAGTCTGTGCCTCGCACTTCACAAACCTATCGGAAATTAAAGTTGTGCTCCCAAGAGGCTGCAGTTGAAATAGATAATGCATAGATGTGGAGCAGAGAGGAGATGTGACCAAGAGCCAGTGATTGAGCAGTGAAATCATTGCATATCTTCTTAGTTCTTCTAATAAGAGGAATGCTTCTACATGGGTTTGTGTGCTGAAAGAGGAAAATTAAGAAGGAAGGCATGGTGCAGAACAGCACAGTATGAGTGGCTTAATGAAAGAATCTCAGGCAAGAGGAAGGATTAGACGAGCAGAAGTGAAGGCAGGGGAGAAATGAATGGTACCCAGGCTTTAATGGGACAGTGGGATAAAATAAACAGCAAAATGGATGGAGCTGAGAGGAGCAAAATGGGTAGACTTGTGCATGCCTTGAAATACAACCAGGAAAGGGTGTGAAGGGAAGCAGGCATTGTTGGTACAGTTTTGCTGTAGTATTCCAGCTTGATTAAAAAGGCAGTCCAAATAAACATGAGTGGAGTGAGGAATGAGGAGACTGCAGTAGCCAGGCAGGGAAAATATGGCTTGTAGTCTTTCACAGTTGAGGCAAAGTAGCACGGACTGATGGGGAAGATCTGCTAGATCTTACAGTAAAGCCTTAGCACAAGCTGTTTACATGATAGTGTAGTTGTCAGATATGGTGAGTTTCATTTGTTCAGTTAACTGCTTACTGAGTCTGAAGACAGGTTTTTTGTTCTGGGTATGCTTAGTTCATTCATTAGTCATCTCTCATTTTGATTACTCTAATGGCTTCTGGCTAGACGTTGTCCTTCTTCTGCTCTTCACTTACAATCTATTCAGAAATCTGCCACATACATAATATCTTGTCATCTTCTCTGTTTGCTTCATTTTGCTGCCAGATCCCCTTAAAACTAACTTTAAATGTCACACTCAAGATGAAAGCAAAATCACACTTTGAATTCCTAGTTAAAAGAAATGGTTGTTTGTCCTATCTTATAGTTACTTCAAGAAAAGTATTTTAAAAGCCCATCACTCTTGAGGTGTGACAGTCACCTTGGAGTTCTGCAGGATGTACTTGGCAGTGAATGATCAGAGTAATTCACAAGAGTTCTGCTTGTGACTGTACTGTGTGGGGTCCTGCATTGCCAGCTGGCTGCCACAAAAAAGGAGATTCAAGATTCCCTTCCAGAAGGAGGGAAGTGGTGCTTGTCCATGCATGGCAGCTGCTCCTGCCTGAGGAAGAGGGCAAGTTGTGAGTAGTGTGTCGGTAAGAAGAAGAAGAAAATAACTTTCACTTATAATGAGTGTGCAAAGTTGCTGTGGAAGAAAGCAACAGAATGACAGCTTTGGGGTTGCTTGTGGTCTGAAGAGCTGCTTGTTGCCTTCTCTTTTTTCATGCTTTTGTTTCTGAAAAGCATTTGGGAAGAGAGGGCTCAGAAGGTGAGGCACAGAGGTAGGGTTGCACAGTCTTAGGGAGAGAAGCTGACTGCCTCAGGTTCAGAAATGGTCCATGTGGGCCATCAGTGGTGGGTTACTATGAGAATGAAGAAAAATGGCTATTAGAAGAAAGAAAGGGATTTTCAGTTTAAAAGGGAGAAGTGGATTGGATTAACAGGTGATGGCAATCACCTTGGAAAGAAATCCATTGCTAGACTCCATCTGTGCCATTTTCATCTGCAGCTGTCTTTAAATAGAAGTTACTTGTGTCCTGAAGGGTGGTAAGAGAAGGGAGCTTCTCTCCTAATAGGAAGGAGACAAGAGCTTACTTGATTAGGGATTTGCAAATGGAGTGTGATTGCAAATCACTGGAGATAATGAGAGTAAAAATTTACATGTTAATACCAAAATTAGTAACATTAGGAAATACAGTAAGTGAGAGAGAAAATTCTGTGATATTTTTGAAGCAGGACCCCTGAGAACTCTTCCCGTGGCTTACTGTGTGGCAATGGAAGCACTTGTACAAGCAGTGAGAGCTCACAGCTCCACTCTGCCACTGAAAACAGGTCTCAGCAAATCACCCAAGACCATGGCTCTGCAACTTGCCAGGCTCCAGCAATCCACACAACACTGGGCTTTTATCTTGTTTTAAAAAGCAGTGACTTCTCAGAGCAGTTTCGAAGCTTTGAAGAGCGATCCTGCAGTGATTGTGGAAATACAGTTTTTTCTTACTGTCTTAACATTTAGTCTGAATTACAAAACAGCTTGTTAGTATGTTGCCTCAGTATGTTCCTGAGGTCTCATCTGTATGTCTGAATGGTTACAGTGTAGAAATAACACTACAATTCTACTGCTGGCTGCTAGTAGAAGGACCAGGAAGCAAGGTTAAAATACTTCTATAGAACACTTTTCAAATATATTTTCCAAGAATATTTTTCATAACATTTAAAACTCTTAGCTCCTGTCTGTGGTGGAGAATACGAGCTGAGCTGATCTGTGCCACAGCAGCTCTGCCTGATGCCCGTGTCACAGGCCTGTGTTCCTAAAGGGAGCAGCCTTGGCTGAAGGCTGTGTGGAGTCAGAAACCTGTAAAAAACCTAATGGAAGGGCTGAGCTAGGGCACAGCTGGGCCAGGAGTGGGGATGTGTGGGAGTGTTGGTTGTTGTTAAACTGGGCCACAGAGAATGACCAGAAAGGAAGGTAAAAATGTACTTTGTCCCTTGGATTCATGCAGGGAATGGAGGCATGGGAGATGTAAGGAGAACATACAATGTTTACAAGACAGAGTGAGCTATCCATGTTAATTTTTGTGTATGCAAACAAGTAATAAACTTGGAGAAAGGCTAATTAGATATGAAAATTGTTGTCAGTGTGATGTTTTCAGAGGTTAAGAATACTTTTTTTCTTTTTGTACTCCAGTAACTGCTGAGAAACTAAACATGTTGCTCCATGTCTCATTTCAATTGTTACATTAATACATTAATATCTACATTTCTGCTGCTAAATTACTTTTTGATCTGCAATTCTCCTTGCCTCTACTCCAGCCTTCCTTTTTTTTTTTTTTTTTTTTTTTGCTTATTTTTTGCCTATCAAAAATCCTTAATAAATCCTTGGCTTCAGCAACACTCAACCTTGTACTCAACCTTGTTTCAGGCAGGAAATATAGCACTTGCTGTTGTCTGCCTGTGATGAGATTTGCTTTCACAGGATGGGAAGTCCTTTAAGTTTACTGTAGTCCTGAAATGTCCTAAGACCACTGCCACACACAACTTGCAGTGTTGCAAACTCTGTTAGTTCAGAGCTTTATCAAAAGGGGGATGTATGGTGGTTGTTTTTATGAAGAGGAAAAGCCACAATTTTTTGTTGTTTTGGCTTTTTCAAATATCAGATTATTCTTGTTTCAATTAATTAACCCTGATATGACTAAATTCCTTTTTCAGGAGGTGTATATAGCTAGTTTACTGATCTTACTTTAAATTTAGATCATATTTTATCACTTTGTTTTAAAAAATTAATCATATAATCTTGTTTGTTTCTGTTTATTACTGTATCTTATGCTGTAGCACATGCCTGTGTGCTGTCTAACTTGCCGAAAGAAAATTAATCTCAATCACTCTTAGTCTCCATGACCTATTAATTTGTCTATCAGTAGAAGTTTTAAAATAATAAAAAACACACATCTGGGATACTTTCCCAGGCAACGAATGCTATTTGCTCAGCTCACACCTTCCACAAAAATGCGTCTGGTTTAGAGAGCTTTGTACTGTAACTGCAGGACAAAATTTTGTGCTTTCTCTCATCAACGGGTGATGTAATTCTAAAGGTAATTCTGTCTTGTGACACACCAGAAGGCTGCTGGTGTCCAGCTGCTCAGAGTTTGTACCTGGGAAAGGTTAGCTTGATCCTGACGCTGATTTCAGGTTTGTTTTAAGGTGTGTCTTGGACTTGTCTGCAGCCCAAGCTGAGGGGCAGAGAGGTCTGAAGGACATGTGAAAAGCTGTGTAAGGCTGTGTGTAATGGCATCTCTGTGAGCACTGCGGGAGGAGGTGCCACACAGCTCCTGGAGATCAGCCCAGTGTTGAACATGGGGGATTTCCTTATGGATCTGGCAGTGAACTACTCCTGTACAGGCTCTGTGTGATGGAGTAGTACTCTTTCAACCTATAAATTAAGGAGTATTGAGCAACCAAGAATGCAGATTACTGGTGTAACTATCCCTAAGTTCAGAGCAGGTGCAATGACCTCTAATCCTAACAAGAGAGGGCTGACATTACTTTGTCCATGCCCTGCAAGTCACCTCTGGATGACACCTGTGCTTACTTACTGTCACCTGACTCCATTCTTGGACAGGCTCAGGGAACACAGACATGCTTAGCAGCTGACACAAACTGGACTTAGACTTACATCATCCACATACTGAAAAAACAGCAGACACAAGCTACCTTGGCGTGTCCTGGCCTTCTGTGCCTTGAACAGAAATGCAGTAAAAAAAAGCCTTGCAGTACACAGGCCACTGCCCAGATGATCCTCTTTCTTCTGAGAAGGGCAGGGTAGAAGCACTTATGTGCTGCTTCCCTGTTCTCCCTCAATAATTAAACAGCTGGTTTTATCCTTTACTTGATTTCACTGTAAAGTGCATTCACAGCTGACTTCTGCTGCCTGCAGTAAGCAGCAGCAGTACAATAAGCAGTGCATCACTAACATAAGCATGTTTTATTTTTCTTTACAGGTAACTGTGCTGGTCCTTTTTGCCCTTGCATTCTTAACGTGTGTTGTATTTCTGGTAGTCTACAAGGTTTACAAGTATGATCATACCTGTCCAGAAGGATTTGTTTTCAAGGTAAATTGCATACCCATTCTAGAGAAACAGTAGAGTATGTAATATTCTGTGTTGTGTTAGGCATAACCTTGATTAAGGCATGCTGTATTGCATAGATTTGGTGTTTCTTTACATAGGTTAGCATGCTTCCTGCTATGCTTTTGCTTTGTAACTTATAATTGAAGTTGTACTATTGTACAATATTAATAGTGTTATTTTGCTAATGCTTTAAACATTGAAAATATAGCAAAAGTCTAAACACTGGTGACTCTCCAAGTAACTTCACCTGCAGTTGTCTCGACAAAACCCTCATTTATGGGTCATATGGTTTAATGTTGCACGTTCTTCCAAATTAGTGTGTCTTAGGAAATGAGAAAATGATAAAATGTGGAGAAAAAAAAATCTGGAATATGTGTCAAAGAAAAAGTAGACTGATGTTCTCATTAAGAGTAGTAGAGTTACTTCAGGGTTATTTTTGTACTAAGAACTTCTTGTTCTAGGACAGTGACCTCCGAGCCCTACTGCCAAAAGTGATGCCAAAAAAGGGAAAACACATTTATTGTAAAAAATACTGGTTCTAACCAAAAGGAGGCTGGGCTCACTTTATTTGTGTGAGATGGTGGTGCTGGCTTCTTTGCTATGACCTGGGCTAAAAGTCAGAAAAGTAACATCAACTTCCCAGTTGTAAATTTAGCAGAGTTGAACTTGGCTGTAATTAGGTAAGAAAAGTAGCAGTGATAATGGCATTCTTCCCTTTAATTTTTTTAATGGGTACCCAGTATGAACTTCAAAAGCATTCTAGAAGGGATGGCTGCCTCAGCAGTCCTCAACAATCCTGTTCAGGATTTTATCTGTCACTTCAAGCACATAAATATCTTACAAGAATCTAGTTCAAAATTATAATCAGTGATGCCCTTCTGAATTAATTTAGGTTCAAGCATTCAGTTGGTTACTGCTTCCCCTTTGTTCAAGGGCAAAAGATACTGTGGTTAGAATACTTGGCTGTAAGTCAGGAGATCCAGCTTTTGGTTCTGTTGTTGGCTTTTTGTGTTCTCTCAGGCACTGAAACCCCTCTGTGTTCATGTCTCAGGGGACAACAGGCCTTTTTTCCCCCTAAGCTTTCTCTTGTCATTAAACACTTTGGAATATGGACTGTTATGTTCCTTTCAAGCCTGTCTTGATGTGATCCTGACTTGACAGGAACAGCCAGTTACGTGTTCCTGTGTGAGTCTAGCAACAGCCTCCTGCTTCTGCCTCCTTTCACAACAAGTTGTCCTTTCCTTTGAGTTGCAGCTTTTTGGCTTCTTGTGGCTTTTCTTGCCAGTGTCACAAATATTTAAGGAAAGAACACTTTCTCAGCTATATTTGTTGCCCTGTGACCAGAGTCTAGTTGTGTTTGGGACAGAAATTAGGCAAAATGTCCCATAGCTCATGCTCTGTTCATAAGGTGGAGCACATGCACAGAGCTATGTTGTGGTTACTCTCCTGGTGGTTTTCTTGGAGCTGGTGTTTTGTTTCCAGCTGCTTGATGGCATAATGCCAGAAGACAGAGCATCTTTGGTCATGTACCTCTTTTAAGAAAGAGTTCTACAGGATAAGGATGTCGGCAAATGACACAAGGCCTGAAAACTACCACTGTTAAGAAGACTTTGTATTTATTTGTGTTGTTTTTTTGTTGTTTTTTTTTTGACTTTGTATTTATTTGTGTTGGGGTTTTTTTTGGTTTTTTTTTTTTTTTTTTTGGGTAGAGTCCACGATATGTAATGGCACAGCTTGGCACAGATGTCCTAGGAAGCATGAAGTCTGTCACCTTGTGACCAGTGTCTCTGCAGACTGGCTTCATGTTTTAGGTGGACTCAACAACATTATCTGGCCTGGATGTTCCCAGGCTTTAGACGGTGATGTGAGTTCCTGGTTAAGGGCAAAGGTGTGCCTGCCTCAGGAAGCCTGGTGCTGCAGGAATCTCTGCATAAAGGCTGAGCTAACCACAGCTCTGAGTCAGCCTCACTCTTCTCTGCTTTGATGCTCTCATACATGGAGCAGTTCCAAAGCTTTCTGCTGTACTACGCCTCCAGGGCGTGAAGGTGTGCTTAAAAAGGTGCTCATTTTCCTTTGAACAGCAGTCTTATTTCTGTGCTTGCTTAAGCTTTCTGAGACAGCCTTAGTACTGCTGCTGTGCATATTGCTTCTCTGGAGCACTCATCAGAACCTGCTGGTGAGGCTTACCACAAAAACCTGAGTGCACTTACATCCTGAACAATTTCCCCAGGGTTTCAGTATGTTCTGTACCCTGTCTGTTACCCTTTAGCTTTTGTTGCCAAGGCACCTGCATTCTGACAGGCTTGTGGCCATTACAACAAAGTCACTTCAGTGCATTGAAGACCACACCATCATCTGTTAAATTGGGAATTTTTGACCCAGCAAAGTTAACATGACAGAAGATACTATTTATAAGTGAATTCCACTGGGGTCTTCATGTCAAAGGAACAAAAGGAATCCTCTTAATTCAGCCAGATACAGACTGGCAACCAGGGCTTTCTCTGGCATCAAAGGCCATAACCTGTACTAATTTCCAAAATAGAAGGGTTGTGAAAAAAAGAAGACTGGCAAGTTACTCTGGAGAATCCCAGTTTCTCCTCATGGCCTTCCTTCTTCTCTCACCTGGAAACCATGGAAACAAATAAAAAGGATGGAAATAAATGTTCTACATAGCTGAAAGTGGCAGGGTAAGAATCAGCAGCAGTTCCCATCTTCCCATCACTCAATCACCGCGTGCTGCATGGCTTGCCTTGACTGGGAACTAATCCAAGGGGCTGTCCTTAGGCAGTACACTAAGGGCAGTGAGTGAAAGGAGAGGTTGTTTTCCCATCTCTTCTAGAAGCATGAAACCCTGGGAGCAAAAATGCAGTCAAGAGGGAAACTGATGTCTGTTTCTTAAGGCTCTTCTGTCAGATGTCTTGCACATTTGCAATACAAGGCTCCCCCCCCCGAAAAAAAATAAACCAAAAAACATTACTGAGTCATTTTTGCCTGCTACAAAGCAAATTGCTTCTGAAGGCAACACAGGATTCTGTAGCTTTTTTTCAGACTGTCATTAATCTTGGCTTGTCTTCAGCTCTAATAATTATATTTGCTTGAATTTCTTTGGCAGATTTCATTAGTTCAATGGATTGTGTTCCTTTCCCCACTTTAAATATTTAGAATTGTGATTACATCCCATGACTAAGTGAAATAATCACTACACATATGTCTGTGTCTATGTGCTTCTTAGTCATTTTATCACATCAGAAGTAGTGTCAGTTATCCCAGATAAAACATGGATAATACTTCCAGAAGACTACATGGTTGATGTACATGAATATGCATCTCAAATAGCTCTATTCCATATTCCTGGATTATGTTTTTATAAATCTAGGTCCCAGTCTTGCTGCTGGCACACACATTGACTATGAGCACAGGAAAGCCTCTGTTGACTTACAGTGCTGAACTGATACAGGTGCTGTTTAGCCAGGTTAAATTCCATCTGCTTTGTGGTGCTACTTCAACAAAACTGGGAGACTTGCCCCAGCTGCTGCCTTGACAGAAGGTTACAGATGAAGGGAACCAGGGTGGCCGTGGAAACTCTGGGCACTCTGTGAGTCTGACGTGCTTTGAGGCTTCTGTCACACCCACAGCTTTGAGCCAGTGAGATGCTGACTGTGGGAGAGCTGCCAGTCTTGTGGCAGCCAGGCGTGTCTGAGCCACCATCACACGTGCCACGTGACTGAATTTGTCTGGGGCAGACAGCTTCTAAGACTACCTGTGGGCCTCTTGCTTTGACAAGTATTCCTTTCTTCTTTCATACCTTTTGATGATTTGTTCCTTTTTAGGAGGAAAAATTTGTATTAAGCCAAGACTGTCTGCTGGGTCTTCACCCATCTTTTGCTTTATGGTTTAAATCCATTTGAAGCAGTTGTTACTCTTGCTTATTTATGCCTTTTTTTTTTTTTTGACATGGACAAAAGTCAACTCAGAAGTAAATGTGGACACTTTTAAGGTAGAATCTGGTCCTAAAACCCATTGAATTTTTGCATGTGTTTTTCTGCTGAGAAATTCCCAATATAAAATTCTGTTTGCTGAGTAGAACAGTAGCAGTTCAAAGCTGCTGTGCTGTAGCATTATAAATTTTAGTCCTCCAGTGCTGGACGCAAGAAGACTGAATACCCTATTTCTTTTCAAAACAGCCAGAGTAGAAATGACTAAATGAATTTTTCTTCCAGCTGCAGCTACTTCTAGCTTACAAGAGTCAATTCAATTGCTCAGGTGCTTCAACATGCCCTAACATGCAAGACTGCCTGGACTAGCCAGTGTGGCAAGAGGACCTGCAGAGAGACCCCAAGACCTTCTGGGGCAAAGCCTGGGGGTCACAGTATATGCCTAAATAACTTTTTTCTTTGGTGCAACGAGCTGCTCTGCAGGCTCTTCCTGCACCGTGACTGGAAGAGTTCCTGGATGATCCCTGCGACAAATGCACTGCACAGGCACATTCACTTTGGCTTTTAAGATGACAGCAAAGTGGATTTGACTTTTATTTTACTCTCTAAATTATCTGTTTCACTTTCCAAAGCACTGAGAATCTAGCAGGTTCTATTTAGTGCTCCTACAGTCTTGGGAAATGAAATAATGCAGTCTCACAGCTCCAGAGAGCTTTTTAAAAGCCTGCTGTTGGCTACATCTTTCTGACAATGAGGAGTGAAGTATTTTGTATGTGTGTACACACTTCCACATATGCTTGGCCACCCACAGAGTTTTCCCTATAATGTGTGAGCTACTGGGCTGTAAAACTGTTCATACATTGGCAGCAATATATCTGTATTAATTTCTGTCCCTCAGACTGCAAACACCAGGGCAAATTGCCTGAAGTTAATCTAACAGTACAATACGGACAGCTGTAATTGTAAACCAAACAGCTGGAATTTGGTGGGCAGGAATAAACAGCAAAATGTGGCTGGAACTGGAGACTGAATACTTTTTCAAAATGATTTTAGGCAAGCACATTTCTTGTATGTTAATTATTCTGGCATATAAACCCAGTTTGGTCTTCCTGGCAAATGCACGAGTAGTTTTAAGGATTGCAGGCAGGAACATTTTGAACACAGTAGGACAATACTGTAGTTAATTGATGTATGTTGCATCTTGACTCACAGAGAGTGTCTCTTGGCTTAGACTAAAAGGAAAATGTGGCATTCACATTCTCTGGAATAATCCCTTCACCCAGGATTTTTCTCCTGGGAAGCTGCGAAGCCTCAGAGAAAAGGAAAACAATTCTTATCTCATTTGCTTCTCCTCTGTTTTGCTCATGTGGAATGTGTTTGGAGATTGTTTACCCACAGGTGATTGTTTCAGTGGATTCTGGTGTGAGTTCTTTTGACTCATTGGCCAATCAGGGCCAAGCTGTGCTGGGACTCTGGAAAGAGTCACGAGTTTTCATTATTACCTTTCTAGCATTGAGTAAGTATCCTTTCTGTATTCTTTAGTATAGTTTAGTATAGTATTCTTTAACATAATACAGTATTATAAAGTAATAAATTAGCCTTCTGAGAACATGGAGTCAGATTGATCATTCCTCCCTGCCACAGGGGTCCCTACAAAAAAGGAGAAAAAGCCCCTAATCTGCTTCATGTGTGTGTAGGGGGGCTGTATCTGAAATCTAAGCAATGGATTTTCTTTTCAGAATAATCAGTGCATTCCAGCTGGGTTGGAAAACTACTACTCTGAACAAGACTCCAGCGCTCGAGGGAAATTTTACACAGTCATAAACCACTACAACCTGGCCAAACAAACCATCACGCGCTCCGTGTCCCCGTGGATGACAGTACTGTCAGAAGAGAAACTGTCTGAACAGGAGACTGAAGCTGCTGAGAAATCAGCTTAGTATGATAAGCTAATTATTAAAACTATGTCATTTGAAGGTAACTAAGGGACTTCAAGGAACTTTTCATTAAGTATAATTATGGATAATTTAGAGGTTACTCATGTTTATGGTGTAACTGCTTCTGTTTGCTGATACTGCTTTGCAAAAAAAAAAAGTAAAAAACTGAAAACAAAAACTTGCTGCAGAACATTCATGGGCATAACCCCAGGTGCATATCAGCATTGCTGTAGAGCTTTGACACCATTTTCAATGTTAAAAAAATCCAATATTAGATATGTTCTTGCAGTTTATTGGATACTGATAGATTTTGTCACTGGATTTTCAGGGCTTGGACCTTAGATAAGTCATGTGTTCTGTTGTCTGAACAGATACTTAATTTATTAAGTTTTTGAATTCTTTGTCATTTTGCAAACTGAAACACCCCAGCCATAACTAGAGTGATCTCTTGTTTAGCTGAAAGCTGTAAGTAATGTTTAGTTTGGGCTCAAGCAAGAATGATAGTCAGCACTGACATTGGGGCATAATGTAATGACTTGTATGGAGAAAGAAACTGTCAGGTCGCATTTTTCCTTACATTTCCTTTACTGTTTTTGTAAGTGATAATGAAGTTCTCTGCAACAAGGCATGCTCAATGTTTTCTTATTGCTGTCAGCAGGATTTAACTGCATTTCCACTGTGGCTTTAGCATCTTGGTAAGGATGTGCACTGAAACACAAACTAGGTAGACTTACGGAAAAACACAGGCAGTTTTAGTGGTGGGTGTTGAGGATAGTGTAAAAAATACACAGTTCAGGATGTTCTAATGAGAAATGACATCTTTTGATCATACTAAAGAGGCAGAAAGCCTGTTCACAGTACATGTAGTCCACTATGTCATTTGTTGGATACAGCTGAAGGAGTAATATGTCTAAATTTTCTCCTGTATTACATTCACATTCTCCCTTTTTAGTAGTTAGAAAGAGCTTTCTGTTTATATATGGTTTGCAGTTTGATACTTTTTAAAACATGGAGGGAGCATCACAAGTGAAACAGAAGTGTGTTAGATACCACAGCTGGCTGTTAAAGCTCCATGTGAAACAGAGTGAAGAGTAGAACTGTTTGTGTATGGCTTGGGAGGGGAAAAGATGTAGAAGAACATAGTATTGTGGATGCACGTTAAAGTTCCATTGTAATTACAAACTTACCTATTCTTTGTGTGAAATCATGTTTTCATTTTTATTATAAATCTTAAATATACATTATAAAAAGACATCTTCTTAATTTAACATACAAAAGTGTGTGAAGCATCTGGGCAAGCTAGTTGCCTTTTTATTCATGTAACTTGAATGGGACAAGGTAGAGTGGACATGTCAAAAGTTCCTTTGTTTTTTTTTTGTTAGAGTCTGTACAAAAATTAAGGGAAAACATCAGGGTGTTTCTCAAGATCTGTAGTAGAAAAAATGTGGTCAGCTCTACATCTGTTTTTCTCCAGCAGAAGCCTGTCATCCCAATATAGTAAAAATAACCATTATGACTCAGTGCTCTGAATTTGATAGGAAATGTGCATTACACAGTGCAGCTGTAAAAGGCTTTTTATTAAGTCCTCATGGTATGTGGAATGCCTAAGAAGCAATAAACTATGTGCCAAATTTTTCTTTGCAATTAAAAATATCAGGCTTATATTAAGATCTTTAAAACATATCATGTTTGCATTTTCTAACAGGCATCTGCTTTATTGAATATAATCAATTCACATGTAACTTTTGACATTTTCACTCTGTGCATAGTAAATAATAAGAATGATGCTACCTGTTGCATAAAATGTATAGAAATGTACATTTCAGAAGAGAGATAAGAAAACACACACATTTAATATCAACATACTTATAAGAGGACATTCAGATTTTACAGGATGGAAAGGTCAGTTTCCCAAGACTGTTCTAAATAGAAATGATTCACGATACATCTCCTCCCCTTAAATTTAGGACAATAAAAACTTTAATGCAAAAGTAAATACTGATGAGAAACAACTTCTTTTTCTCCTCATAACAATAAACAGTAAAAATTAGTAAGCCTTACGATCTAGGAGAAACAGATGATTGTTTATGCTTCTTGAAGTCAAAACCATTTTCCATCTGATTTATCAGGAGGGAGTTTATTGAGTCTTATCTACACTTGGTTTTGAGACTTTTTTTAGTTAACAAATTGCTCCCAGGTTTAGTACTTTGAGGAGTTTAATTGTCTATCCTTTGGCTTTATTCCAGCATCCCAGAACATCTGTTTCATTGCACAATCTGTGTTGTATTCTCTCTTTTCACTTACAAGTAAAGCTCTTTTGTTGACTCCTTATCATTATTGGTACCATTAGATCAAGCTGATTTCTGAGACAAGTAGTTTCAGAGGATTAGAAGTGAAGGTCATTTATGTGCAAAGTGATCACTGTGTACTGAAGTGGTGTGATGAAATAAAGGCCTGAGACAGCGTAGATGCTTCTGCACAGTAACAGTTTTCTCTTGCTCTGGGATGGGAGCTGGACTTTCCACAGCACAGGTGGGTGGCTGTGTCAAAACCAGTACTGTTGCTTTTTCTTCTGTTAGGTCTGCTCCAGCGTGTAGCTTTCTTCACAGGTCTTTCAAATACTTTTATGTTCTCCAGAGGATAAGTGTGGTTTTATGTTTGATACAGGGATTTTAAATGAATGTAATGGATATGTGCACATCTTATGTATTGGAAAATATTTCCATCATAGAGGTATGAGAAAATGCATAAAGTATGTAGGTGTGCTGTTATACCTCACTCCACTAAAAAAAGTCAGAACAATTACAAACAGAGCATGGAGCCAATATATGTTTAATTAATTATCATACCAGTCCAGGAAAAGCAAGGAGAATGAACACATCACAAGGAAGAAGAGGATCCATACTCTAAATCCAGCATTGTTTTTGATGGCCTGTGAGAGAAAGGTTATCCCTGTTACCATTACCAGAAAATACAATTCAACAGTGGTAACTCAGAATGCCTGTTTGTGGCATCACCCTTCCCTCCCACAAGAGAAACAGCAAAATTTGACCTTAATTTCAGGTGAATATAAGTCAGGTTGTCTGGTACCTCTTTAGATTTATCACACTGAAGTCACACTCAGAATCTTAATATTGCACAAATCAAACTCAGGAGCTATATCACAAAATACATGCTCCAACATTAAATTTCAAAAGTGAAATTCCTTGATTAAAACTAATCAGGCCTTCATCTTTCTAATAAATATCTGACTTGAAACAAATGAGAAAAACAACAAAACCAAACAACAAAGAAAAACAAAATCCCTGACACCTCTGGAGGTAACTCAGTCACTTATTTCAGTCTCAGAACCAGTATTTTTCTTGGCTACTCCTTTCCAAAACTGGGACCAGCAGGGGACGTGGTTTCTGCTCTCATTTTTTAGATTTACATAAGGAGTTTTTTAAATATGATACAAACATTAATGTGAGTAACAAAGTTTATTTTACCACCTTTCACAACTGTTTCTCAGGATGGTTTAGGAAACTTAGTTCTACCTAAAAATGTGAAAGGTGAAATAAAATATAGCTTCAGTTCTTGTCATGTTTGGTGCACTTTTCAGAAGAGCAGAGCAGTGGCTAACTCATCCTTGAGATACCTTTTCTGTGTGCTCTCAGGAGCGAGAAAGAAGTGAGCCATTTACTCAGTAGCCTAATTTAGGAACTCCATTTTCATTGAAATCTCAGTTCCCAAAATAAAACATCCTTTCCTTCTACTTAGTAGAAGTGGAAGAGGTTTGTTTACTGGGAGCATGCAAGAGGTGTTCAAAGTCTCTTCTGCTAACACTCAGCATTCTGTTTCAACCGTTTCAACACTGTCCTGTAATGGCAGTCTGCAATTTCTGCCCCCCCCACTTCTCTGTTTTAAAAAAACTTCACAGGTGCTTAAATGCAAGCCAGGTGGCCTTCATGTTTAAAAACTGCTGAGGCCAAGTAGATTTCTGCAGTCCTGCGTAGCTATTCGGATCATGCTTAGCAAGTGTGAACTATTGAGAAGCTCAGCTACCTTCAAGAGTTTTCCCAAACCCCTAGGTCCTGACACCCAACACTCACTGCACCCGCCCCATGGGCGACCTTGCATGTGCTGTTTAAAGCAACACCTGGAAAAAACTGAGTTATGAGAAATGAGTCTAAAACACAACTTCAAGATATTACCTCTCTTATGTCTTCATTGCCTTCTTTTATATTCTCTGTTGCACCCACAACTAATTGATGGATATTGTCAATATCAGTTTCCTGTTTAAAAAAAGAAATAAAATTGAGAAACAGCAATGAATGTTACAAAAAAAAAAAAAAAAAAAAAAAACACCACCAACAAAAAACCACTTCCAAGGACTTGGGGAACAAGCAGAACTCAGAAGTAAAATAAAATCTGGTATTACTAACATCTTTGTCTCATCCTCATTGATGCAGAGAGTAATACATTAAAGCTGTAATTTCTTTATTGGTGATTTTACAAACCTGAACGGAAACCACCAAGACCAGCAGGAAGTCTCCCATTTATCTAGAGTCAAACCTAACCTGTCTGATTTTTCCCAGCTCTTTTGGAAGAGGTGCCAACATTTCCAGGATGCTGTTATATAACATGTTTAACAGGACACCAGCTCTGAGGCAGAGCGATCATTCTAACACTTACCTCTCATTTTCCTGGTACACACTAGTAAGTAACACCAGTAAATATCTTGATTTTGAATTTGAAAAACAAAAGTATTTTCCTTCACTTTTGTATTGAAGATTCATTAATTTTATATTCACAAGTTGGCAATCAAGACCAAAATGCTCCAAAAAAAATCTTCAAGTTGTATTTACTCCTGTAGTATTAAATTAATACTAACCTGTTGCAAGACTTTCTCAGTGAATATCTCTTGTAATCTGGAGATTTCCACCACTTTTCCTTCAATTTGTCTTGGCAAAGAACAGAAATACTCCATTAGAAACTAGTGCAAACATGTCTTGCTGCTGCAGATTCAGACCCTCCAGCCCAGTAAGTGGCTGCTCAGGAGGCCACTGTTCTGTCAGTAGTTTGTGAGGCAGCAATAGCCTGGGACTGGGGCTTGGACAGTGCCTGGTTGGAAGACAACCAGCCCAGTGAGCCCTGGGAATGGCACCCCCAGAAATGCTCAGTGAGCAGCTTTCATTGCCAGGATTTTTCACCTGTCTCCCTTCTTTCATATAACAACATCCATGTTGGGCCTTAAGCAGTTGATTTTGACACACCCTTTTCATATGCTACTCTGGTGTGTGCAGTTCACCTCTGCATAGCACTGATACCCAGAAGTAAATTTCTAGCTTGAGTAGCCCTTTGGGTGTTCTGCACAGCTGGGGAGAGTGAATGGCACCACTGCCTGTCACTGCATGGGGTCAGCAATGGCACCTCCCCTACTGCCATCTGGATATCCAGCAGACAACAGGACAGAAATGGAAAATGAAATACTTTGAAACTTGGGTAAGGGAGAATGTAAGCCTTCCAAATGTAACCAGTGCTACTGTTCTTTACACTGTGGGACAGCACACGCTTCCTTTCCTGGGCACTGGGGATTTGTCCCAGCTCCTCCCACACCACTGGAGCAAGAACAGGAAGGTGTCCTGCAGCCAATGCCCTGCACATGGGGGCTGACTGGGGCATGGGATTGACATGGGGCCACCGTCTGTCAAGTGACAGAAAACTGTACCTGACTTCATCGAAGAGATTGTTCATTTCACCAACAAGTCTCTGGTTCTCCTGTTCAAACTGGAAAAAGGGGAGAAGGAAATTACATACAAAATTTGTAGGTTTAACTTCCCAGAAGTGAGTCTGAAATGACAGGGTAACAGTGTATCTCACAGAGAAAGGTTTAGTCTTCTGACATAGGCAATTTCTATCATAAAGAAAAAATTTTTATTTCTTTGAACATCCAGATTTCTTTAAACATCCAGATTTGGTTTTGCACTAGAGGCTCACTGCCTACCTCATTGGTAAAGAACAGCCTTCTCTCCTGGGTTAAAGGATTCCACAGAGTCTAAGAGGAAGGTTACTGGGCACTGCCACCTTCACTGTGGGGTAGAGGTCTCAGGGAAGGTGCCCAGCTCCATGAATTGAAGGGGATCAGAAAGCAACATACTGCACAGTTCCATTGATTTCCACTCTAAAGATCCAATGGTTTTGTCAAATGAAATAACACCAGTGTTGCAATACATTCAAGTGTCATTGTCACCGCTGTATGTAGTGACACTACCTAGAGAGCAGAGCATTTTTGAAAATATAATCACCTAAACTATATTTATTTTATATTTACTTCACAGCAGCAGATGCTGTGCTTCATCACTGCACTGCTTTGCATTCAGGACTACTGTATGTCTGGTTCTGGTGGTGTCACCTCACAACAAAGCCAAGGCACAGAGCAATGAAACAGAGCCATGAGATTTAGTGCTGTCATCGCCAGTTGGTCCTTGAGTGACTAAGTGGGGCCACCATGCTGCAATTGTTTTTTCTAGCTTTTGTAAGGATAGCTGTACAAATATTCAGCATTAGAAATCCCCTATTTTACTGCCTTAAAAAACAGATGGTAACTAATTGAGAAGACAAATTTTCAGTGAAGAAACAGTGAATGACTTTAATCCTTTACAAATAGCACAAATCCACTTGAGAAAGTATTCTTCAAAAACTCCCTTTGATATTTAAAACCTTCCACTGGCACAGATTGCCTTTTAAACTGCTAAATGATCTTTGCAACTTGAAATCATGGCTGATGGAGCACTTGCACAGACAGCAGTTAAGATATGCTAAAACAGGCAATTGAACAAAGGGTTTGAGCACTGAACACATCATACACCAGTGCGTCACAAAGGGATTTACATGATGGGAACATAAAACCAAGCGCTGGCAATCAGTATAGCTCAGTAATTTATGGCTTATTGAAGTAGCCTCTTTTATGACAGTGAAATATTCTGTTACCAAAGTATGGCATAAAGTGACAAACTGCTTAATATATGGCTAAAAAATCCAAGGCATAAAAGAAATAATCACCACTCCTTTTTTGTGATTCCATGAGAAAAGTCATTAGATGTGCTGTCTCTGAATTTAAGACAAAACCAACCAACCAAAAAAAGATAAAGTCAGAGAAAAGTAGATATTTTCATGACTCCAAACAGCAGAGATTTTTCCCACTCAATACAATCACAAGACATCTGCTCACAATAACTGTAAAAAAACATGAATATACCTGTATTTGGAGTAATAAATTGAAATGTATTGTGTAAATCATGCAGTAGGCCTGCAAATATTTTGAACAACATCAAGCTCTCTCCTGAGGGTAAAACAGTGATAGGAGGTGCTTTAGCAGTGATAGGGCTTTAATTCATTATTTTATCTACATGAAGGACCATGGAACCATGACTGAGGATTTCCTAAGTATGATATGGCACAAACCATCCCAATTTAAAGCCAACACAGCAGTTTACAGATTGCAAGCTATCCTCTTCATAAAATTGTTTAGGATAGAAAAGATCTTACAGATGAAGATAACCCAAGGCCACCACTACACCATGTCCCTAGGTGCCACATCTACATATCTTTGAAACACCAGCAGGGATGGTGACTCCACCACTTCCCTGAGCAGTCTGTTCCAAAGCTCAAAAACCCTTTCAGAGAGGAGATTTCTCCTATGATCCCAGGCCTACAAAACACAACCTGCATTGGCTTTCAGTCAGAAGGCCCTGTCAGAGCCATCATCCCCAACTCTCATTTCCCTTGTTTCACTGGAAGCTGACAGCAAGGGGCCTAACAGTATTGTGCCTAAAGAAAGGAAAATGAAAATATGTGAAGAGTTATCTTTTAAAAGAAAACAGAAAGCAGGAGTAAGCCTCTAGATTTTAGACTGGCACTCAAGAACAAAATGAGAGCATAGAGAGCAGCCTCTGAAGAACATTTTCTCTTTAAAAAGCCATACCATAATTGTGTGCAACTTAGTCATCTCTGACTGGAAGAATGATGTACACTGTGTCTGGGAACACCTCGAATCACTGCCAAGGAAGCTTCACAAAGTCATACTGCTGCAGCCCTCTGCCCTGTAAAGCTCATTGTTCTGATATCTGCACAGCTACTGACTGAAATCAGCTTTTCCTTCTTTATATAAACTCAAGGCAGTGTGTGCTAATGTAGAGAGGTTTTTTAAGAATTCTGAGCTATGTTTAAAATGATAAATTTTAGGAATATCAAAAAATCTGACAGGTTGTCAGCAATCATACCCATGTCAGAAATTTCATATTCAAATGTAAGCAGAATTGCATCAATCTATAAACATGCCGATAGCAGAGAAATGCAAAAATGTTAAAATTAATGAAATTCTGTTCCGACAGACACCTTGCAGCTATTCTTTCTAGGAAACCGATCTGATTTTGACAATAAAAAAATAAAAAGAAATAAAATGAAGTATAACTTCACAGTAATAGTTAAATAGTACAACTATTTAAGTTCTAGAAACTATCCAAGAAAAAAGGCAAACAATTTATTCTTTCAGAAGTTTCATAATGATTCTTCTGATGTTGCTTTGACTTCTATTGTTTACTGACTAAACAAAGTAATTTGTGATTGTAATGGTAAAAAACAATTTTAATTTCGATTGTTGAAAAATAGTTTTTACTAATTTCATGTCTCCATGTAAATGTTTTGTAGCATTTTTAAATATTAGCTACTACCAGAAGAACCAGGAAGTCACAAGCAAAAGGTGTATCTTTTTACATCATTATTCTGCATAAAATGTTAAAAGTTAATTTAGGTGAATCTGTACTTCTTTTTTTTTACCACATGTGAATACAACAGAAAATACAATAAAATGGACAATTAGACACAGGATAAACATACCATTTGTATTTCTTCAGGTGACAGCTCATCTTCACCTCTGCCATCCCCCCATAATCCAAGGTTACTTTGGGCATCGGGCAGATTCCTGTCTGTAAAAGAGCCACCAAACACTTGAGACACTGAATAGCACAGGGCACTGAATAGTAAAGTAAAAATAATTTTTCACCCATGTTAGACCAATCATGAAATTGTTGTATCTCCTTTGTCAGTTACTGAGACTCACCCTGTATTTACAGCACAAAATTACATCAATAACCTTTAATTTCTGAACGGGGCCAAAAGTCTTCCTGTAGGTTTAATTTTGTGAACTAAAGGGAGTTCCATTAACACACTGACCGAGAAGGATGTAAAACAACTCATCATGCACTAAGAGCTTTTAGGGCACAAAATACTATAGCAGTTGTCTTTTAACAGACAAAACCACACAATTTTCAAAATGACAGCCTATATGCAAAGTATTATCTTCCAGTAAGACTTGACAGAACCACCAGCTCCTCCTTTCACAAACTAAAGACAGAATCTCAAAGATGTTTTGAGCAAAACTCACAGATGAACTCGATTTTGTCATGCTGTTTAAACTTCCTATTACAGTGCAAATCCCACACCACACTGTGCAAGGGGTCTTCCAGCACATAACAGGAATCAGCTCCAAGGCCACAAATTAACCATAACACATCAAAGCTGCTGCATTCATTTCAGTAGTATTTTCCCTTTGATTAAAGCTATTCATCTGCATAAATCTTTGTATAACTCTGGCATAAAAGATCTTGAAGGGCTATTTCTGGGATATTCCCTTCTGGAAGATTTAATTTTAGGCTTAATTATATACTTCTGTCCTACAGAATCTACTGTTTCTGAAGCTATTCTAGCATGAATGTTTAAAAACCTTTTAAGACTGCAGGTTATAGAGGAAGAATGTTAGAAGAGAGAAAAGAAACTGTCCTACATGAATCTACTGTTTCTGAAGCTATTCTAGCATGAATGTTTAAAAACCTTTTAAGACTGCAGCCTTGAGAGAGAGCCTCTCTTCTCCCCACTGGCTATAACAATCTTAAAAAACCCAAGAGAGATCTGCACCACCCACAATGAATCAACCCTCAACCTGCTTTGAGGCTGCAAATAAGAACATGGGAAGATTTAGTTTTTCGTTTTTCATATATTTCAGACCTCCTATTTATTCCAGTCAATCTTTTAAGCATTTATGTATATTTTAATTTGTTTTGCTATAACTTCCTAGACATAATTTTTTTCAATTGCTTAGGCAGCACTAATGCATCATCATTCAGAGACTGACTTGTCTTGGGAAGCCTCTGAAAGGAGTAGTCTTATTTATAAACACATATATGAAAAGAAATACAAGGAGAAATTTTCCCTTTTATCCTCCATGATAGTATTTGTGCAAACTCTTGAAACCATCAATATTGTAAAAAAGCATTGTGTATGTCTCCTTTATAAACTTTTTTTCTGGCCTCCCAACAACCTAACCAGGATGCATAAACAATGACAATGTTACAAATGGGGGATGCAGATATGGAATATAATAAATTTATTTTAAAAACAACCCCAAACCAAAAAATAGATCAGTTCTTTCTTATAGTAGTAAAATATAAACCCAAAAATCTCATTAAAGATTGTTTAGAAAGCATCCAGCTGGTTTTTTCCATGGGGTATTATCAGTATTTCAAATCCATTTCACAGAATCACAAAACTTACTTGTTTAGGTAATCAATGCATTTACATTATATCAAAATGAAAATAAATTATTTACCGTATTCAAACCAAATAAGATAATTAGTTTATGGAGGGAAAAAAGAGAAAACCCAGAGGAACCAGTTAGTTTCAGGCCCTGCCAGCACTGTTAAAAAACAGCACCTGTATCCAATGTGATGGCTAATAAGCAAATATGGTAAGAGGTAAGCAAGAAACACGTATCTCCCCAGGGTCCCTCCTGTCACTGTGGTATGTTTTGGACTTTCTGCAGCTTTCATGGAGCTGACATTAATGCTTTTCTGCAATTCAGCCAGCAAAAGCCAAACTACATTTTTATTTCAGAAAGATAAGTAATCAACTCATGACAAAGATATAAAATGATCAAATGCTCTGAACCTTTTTCCACGCTGAAAGGAGACAGCTGCTAAGCTTGTGGACCAGTTCAAAAGCTACTCATTATTTACATTTATTTCCATGAACTAAATGTCAAATTTGTAATATGCAAATAAATACTGCCAGTATATAAAAGCATTCTCCAGAGAGACTATTTTCCTACCATGAGGCATGTCCACTAAAATTCTAATGTAAACAGGTGCTTTGCCTCAAAACAAAGGTAATCACATTTTGCTTTGGTTTCTGCCAAAAAACCAGAAAAACCCAAGTTGTGCTTCAGCACATTAAGTAGCACATTCAGCTGTTGATCATAGTGTTCAAACAAAGGACAGAACCACAAGCTGCTCTCAAAAGTATCTTTACAGATGAGATTTAACCCAAGGGACCTAGGCATGCTGCTGATGGCTAATTCATAAAAACAAATTATCACCATTCTCTAAACCCCAACATCCTGAAGATGAAAGAGCTGATTTCAAAATGATTTCAAGAGCTGATTTCTCTGGCTTCCAAAAATTTGAAAAGTTACTTGAAAAAAAAAAAAAAGTATAAACCAAAGGCTGTAAGATTTAAACTGAGCATCTTCTTTCCTAGTCATCTTGTTCATGTTATTTTCACACTTTGACAGCCACCTACCAGCAAAGTCACAAGGCTGATTCCTATAAGCAGCAGCAACCAGCACTTACCCTTATATGAGGAATCACAGGCTGTGTGCATTTGCATATTGTTCCAGACAGATTTATTTTGATACACAAGTTCCATAGTTTTCTCAAAGTCTAGTCAGCAACCCCTCATAAGTACTGCAGCAGCACCACTTGTGTGGCAGGACCCCTACTTTCTCTTAAAAATTAAAGCAAAAACTCATGAAAGTGATTACTGGAGAACTCAAAATTAATGTGCAATAAAATAGCTGCATTTCTATTTACTGCAGTGGTTTGCTGTGTCCCAGGCAACCAAGAAACAGTATTTTCCATGGTGTGGCACAGATTTTTGGAGCTAAAAATTGTAATGACACTATATGGTGGGAGAATGCAGGGACATTTGGTAATAAGGAAAGAGCACAGGGCAATGAAGATGCTACTATGCTGCTGCTCCTCCAGTGGCACCAGCTCACAGCTGCAAAACACTGATAACAGGTTAAGGTGAAACTCATCTGTGTGCCTGTGTGCTGCATCACTTATGACACACTATAAAAAGGTAAGCACTAGAAACGGCACATCATCAAAACCTGTGCCTCTTACGATAAATTCAGTGTTAGAGGAGGAAAAAAGGCACACTGATAGGGCTGCAGAAGTACAAACTGGTTAGGAAGATAAGCAAAGCCATTATCAGAAAATGAAGTTGTTCAGACACTGTGAGGTAATTCAGTGTTAGAGACTTCATCCAGAAGTGAAGCACCCACTTCACATGAATCCACCTTCTGTATGGCCCTGGAGTCACCTAACAGAGGAACTTTACTCTTCATAAAATCACTAAAGAAACAACAACTGTTTATCAGAATAATACGGCCAACCATTGCATTTGTTCTATCCCGACAAAATATTATCATAACGTAATGTAATTAGAATGAAAAAAATTCCTGCTGTAAATCACAGCGTACCTTGGTCTCCTATAGACAAAGACTGGGAGACCTCAAGCCAGGGAAAGCAATTTGAGAATCACTGAAACAACATTTCTCTTTAGGTATGAAACCTGATATTACCTGCATAGTGGTAGTACTCCAAAAGGCACTTAGGTCCAAAGCTCAGCCAGCATCCACATCCCAGGACAGGCTGAAATGGCTAAGAGAATTGAAATGGCTTCTATCCATTGCCTACTTCTCTATCCTGAGAAGCAGGCAACCAGGAATGAGAACCAATGCTCACAAATCCCACCAAGATCTGCACAATCTGAAATGACCCCAAGGTCAGAGATACTGCTTTGGACTTCTGGCTATCTCCTGCCCCCTGTAAGATGAGACTAAATTCTCCCAGCAGGGCAACTTAATGCTGTCAAGAAGAAAGCCCCAAAACTACTGGATCTGACCAGCCAATAACCTCCTCTGTGTGAGCATGTTCCACCTTTGAGTTCCTACTGTAGGAGTCTCCAACTCAAGGTCTCTGTGCTTAAAAACTACAGAATGTTCCAAGAGAGTCGTCGACCTACTTTCTAATTCCTTGCATTCAGTGAAAGGAATATGGAAAAATTAGACAAATTTCAGAAGACATTATATTGATAAAAATAAATGAAAAGGAAAGAGTACATAAAGAGGTTATTAAGAGGATGAAGAATTCAGTAAAGCATACGATTTCTTTAGCTGGCATGTCAAAAAGTTTAAGACTTTGCTTCCTCAGTCTCACAGTATGTTTCACAGAAGCCTGATCAGCTCAAGCAAGATGAAAATGGAAAACATGCCAGTCATAGCAATTGGCCCTTCTGAAGTGAAGGAAGTACTATAACCAGACAGGTCTTACCAGAAAAAATAAAATGTAAAACTACATTTTATTCCTACCTTTGCTTTCCTCAGCAGAAAGTTTTTCTTCAGAATCCTCTAAAGGACTCTGTGAAGATTTTTCAGTGGAAAGAGATGATTTGGACACATTGCTCTGCTCAGGTTCAAGTTTGGACCTAGAAGTACAAGAGCCAATGATTTTACAGATGTATTTTTCTAAAATGAGAAAAAACACAGATTACACAGATTACTTTCAATACTTTAACTCTTGTGAAGTTCACATTAAAGATTTTCCAGTAGAGATACAAAATGTACTTAGCAACTGTCACTGAAATATTGCTACAAAGGCAAAGAAATAGTGAATAGTATTCCTGGACAAAATGCACCACAGGCTCAGAGTTGAGAATATTGAAGGCTACAGCATAAAAATACCAACACTTCATTAAACTTGCTTTCAAAAATCCAGTGTAATAATTTTTTTTAAGCCAACATTTAGGTCATATGAAAAATTTTTAGTAGCAACGGCCAAGCACTACTTCTTTATTTTTTTCAAATAACAGTGACAATCTTGCTTTATATTTTCATTTATCATAAAGGATATACAATATAATTAGCTTTCATATACTACTTCTAAGTCCCTATTAGGTAATTTTAATACAAAGACAATGCAAAACATGAGAAGCTTACTCAGTGATTATATATTAAGTACTTGTCAAGTATGTTTCAGCATGGCATCAAAAAATTAGTGGTAGTGTATTTTTTCCAGTAAACGTCTGTGGCTTATTGTTGTCTACAATGAATTCTGAAACTGCTACATAGCAAGCAGTTAAATGTTTAGTAATGCTGTTGAAGAAGGTAAAGAAGCAAAAACCAAAGGGTGGAATCACCTGCTGTGCCAGGTGATTCCACCCTACCCTTTATCACTTCCTACCCTCTCAAATATAATCAACAGTTAATCTCCTTATGATGTGCAATTGTCCCCTGTGCCTAACAGAAGGTGTTGCTTTTTGTGTTCCTTCTTTGCATTGTGTCTAAATTCTAACCCATAATTAGAAAATTCTGTGAAAACCAGAATATAATGCAATTGTCATCACCCAGTGATTGCTATTTAACAGTAGCAGGGAACCTTTTTTAGTGCTAAAACCCCTGCAAGTACTGGGCTTTTGGTAATTTTACAGAGACAAATTCTTCTCTCATCTCCTCCCTCTCAAATTTGCCTAATAATAAGAAAAAAAAACTTATCTACGTATCTGTGCAGTTCAAATAATAGTTTTAATACTAATAAAACACCAATTCCCCAGGTAACAAAAATATCAGCTTGATTTGAATAACTGCACACATAATTTCCTAAATCTTCTAATGGAAAAAGAAGTTTAAAACTGAAATTAAATATAATCTTGAATACTAATAAACATTAAAATGGAAAATCACAACCAAGTACCTTTATAGAAAGAAATGTTTGTGTTTCTATTTCTCATCTTTTCTTTCTGTGAAACTAGTCCAAACCAGCAGAACTTTTAAATGTAAATATGTGAGTGAATACATAAAGGCAACCTCTGTAAGAAAATTGTAACACTCAGGCAATTTGTTGAAGAGCTTAGGATAGTTATCAATATAGAAGGAAACATGATGAAAGTTTCTATGGCAAACCTTTCAGTATTGTCTGATATGCACATATTTTAAATTGACTAAACTGCAGGAAAGAAGAGCTGCTCTAGGATTAATTTATTTCTAAAGAAACATATTCCTTTATTGTTTGTGGTCCTTATTAGGCACGGTATAGGAATACAGGAAACTTTCAATTTAAAATGAACAAAGTGTCTGGGATGCACTGTTTAAAGGATGCCTAGTTCTTTTAAGAGAGGGTACATGTTCTTATCACATAAAGCATCTACTGAAATCCTCAGGGAAGTTACAAATCAATTATACTATTTTTCTTTAAGTCATAATAAAGATTGGGTTATGCCCTGTGATTTATTTGAATTGAATTTTAATTTAGATGACAACTTAGCCATTACATCACAACTGCAATGCATACAGACTACACCTGGTCAACATCTGTTTTCTAGTTCTTGCATCCGTAAAGAGAGGCATAGAGGGACCCTCCAATAAAAAGAATGTATCTTTTGGGTTAATTCTTAATGCCTTATTGCTTCTTAGTTAAGTGGTACTCTAACTGCTAAAATAATGCATCAAACTGAGGTTTTTTCTCTGTTTATTCATCTGAGAAATCCTGGAAATTTCACATGGAAAGAGTAATGTAAGAGTACTAAGAGAAGAGCTGATATTCATTAGCTACTGCTTCGACTGCAGGAACAATGCTCTCTTTGAAGCTCATTCACATGAAGAATACTGATAAGATTCTGTATTTTTACACATTAAAAATATCAGTTTGTTTCTGTATGGGTTTTTTTCTGGAAAGTTATGGGAGCTGCAAAAACACCAACGCTTTACTTTTCTCTCATTGCTTTTTACCAAATTTCAAAAGTGGTTTGGGGTATTTTGTTTTCTTGCTTTTAGTCTGATCCTCCACACATACTACTATTTATGTCTCATGAGGATATATTTGAGAGAATCTAATTGTGCTTAATCAGGCTGAATCATTCTGAATAAAATATACTTATGAACTTTTGAAAACATCTCTCTAGGTTTAATGTAACTGTAACTGAAAAACCCAAACACCAAACTGATAAACCAGCAACAAGTCTGGGGAAAACGCTCAAGAATTTATTCATGTGCACATTCTAGAACTATATTTTTTTAAATTAAAATACAGATAATGGACCTTGAGGTTACTATTCAAATAACGGAGAGTGAGAAGACATGAAAGCCTCTTAGGTATTAAATAAATTGTAAACTTGCTCACTTTCCCTATGATTCTCACAACTGGGAGTATGAAGAAAAAGAAAGTGAAGAAGTACGGGGCTTGAAACTTGACTAAAAAAAAATCCCACCAGACCAAAAGGCAGCAAGCAACCACCTTTAATGTCTCCTAGACACGTTCAGCTCTACATTGGCAGCCTTAACAAGAGCCACTACAGGAAGTGGAAGCTCTTGTTTCAGTTCAGAAGTTACATTCTAGTTTTTTATTTTTACTGTTTCTGCTTGCCATGAACACCTGCCATCTCAAGCAGTATTTATTAACAACACAGTCACTTTTAGCAGAAAGATAAGACCTTTAAATAAAAGCAAAACCAAAAAAATGTGTAGAAGTCAAATAGGATTATTAACTCGCATTTTACTGACTTGGTGCTCTTATCCTTTACCTAAATGAGAACTACAACACTATAATGTCACTCTGCCACTTTCAGACTTGACTTCACGTGTCTGAAGTGCAAAGAGTCCTGGAATGCACCTGTTGACCACAGAAGTTGCTCATCCAAACACAAACTTCCACTGAAACAATCTCCTTAGAATCTAAACATGAACAATGGTTTTGTTGAATGTCCTACAAGTGAAAGGCACAGTTAAACTATTTTTTGACATTACTCACAGTCTCTTCTTATCTATCACTCTCTTAACTCGGATGGCCCTTTGTTCAGAATACAGCTTGCACACTCCTGTTCAAGAGAGTAAACAAAATTTTAGGTTAAAAGAGCAAGATTTCTTTCTTGGAAAATGCAATCATCCATTTGTAACTATTCAGTAAATACTAAGTACTTTTTAAGTAATCTTCAATGAAGTCCAAGACAGCTGTTCTGTGCTCCTTCACCTGAGCAGACTGGACACCCTTGTGTGCTGAAATACAAAAGAAAAATATAAAACAATCTTTTTAAAACAAAACAAATAAACTAAAACTTTTTACTGAATTCCATAACACTTTGCACTTTCAATTGATATGTAAGTTATATTCAAAAGCCTAGTCACATTTTATGCATGTTAGTATTTCTTTTAAACATAACTATATTTAAATATAGATTCTCTAAAACAGAAAGTCATTACAATGAACCAAAAAGTGAAAATAACTAGTGTCCTGTAGTATTTTTTATATGCCACAGAGTTCTATTATGTCAAATAAACTCTAAACAGGAATAAGTGACATCTAGCTAAGAACAGCAGAATAAATCTAGAGATTTAACTTGTTTAAACTATTGAACTTGCTCAAATTTTCTGGTGTACAGACTGTGTGGAAACTTTTGGGATTTATTGTGTCAAATCCTTTTAATTCACATATATAGATATTTTTCATTTTTATACTATGCAGTTCCCATGCATGACTGACAGTCAATGATTCTGAATAATGCTACAACTATGTTTAGATGGCATTTTAAAGCTGATGAAAATCTTTTGTGCATCAATAAAATACAGAGATGCAGCAAGTCAACTTGAAAATGGCAACACAGATATTCTCTCTCTACGACTTTCACAAGATAGTGTAGTAAAGGTATGATCCCATATTCAAGTTGTCAAAACCACTTTTAATTTACCAGGACTCTGTTAAAGTTTTTTAACAGTAGTAATAATACCTTACAGGTAGACAAGCTAATAAAAGACAACCATCACATTTGGTTGAGCTTTGGTTTAGGTCTCTAAACAGTGCTGAATTACTACTCAAGTAGCAAATATTTAAGACTCTTTTACAGTTGTTAACCTTGAGTATTTCTATGCTATCACTCAAATTTTAAAGTTCAAATACTGGTGTATTTGAACACATAAACAAAATTCTATGCTGTGGCTTCTTTTTCCATTATCATTAAAGAAAATGGTATTACAGTACTAATCAGCCAGTGGGATTACACCAATGCAAACAAAAAGGCAACGACACTTCCCCTATCTTTTTCCTAAAGCATTTAAGATTCACCATTATTCACCAACATTCAACATTAGCTCAGCCTTTATCAAGAACTCAAAAAAAACCATAAGAGTTGCTTAGTTTACCTTCTGTTCTGAGCTGATGAATGGCATCAGCACACGTTCTCATAAACACCTGGGCATCTTGATCTATCTGGTCACGCTCTGTATCCGTCATCCTCACATACTCAGACATAATATGGCTGAGAAACAAGACAAACTTGTCACTTAAAAAATCCCTAACATAAAATCCACAAGTACACACCTTAGTCCTTCTTGCGACCTACCATCTGTGTGAGAACTTTTCTGCAACACAGATTGCCACAGGAAAATAATAAAAAGTCTTTTTAAGAAGTAGAAAGTATATATCAGTAACTACCACTGATAAAAATGCCACTCCTATAACGTTGGGAGGCTTTTTCAAAGAACACTTTTACTAGTAAAGTATGTAGAAAATGCAGTATCTCCTATTATCTTGTACATAACCAAACAGAGCAGATAAGGAGAAAATACAGCTAGAAAATATATCATTGCCCTTGGTACTTATTCCAATAAAGTGTCCTAAAAACACAAAACCAATTCAGGTAAAGGAATAGCTCAAATACTGAAAGAAGTATATAAAAAAAAAAAAAAAGGAACTTTCATTATCCCAAATACAGCGCTTCATTTTTAAAGTCGCTGTACTATGAAATTGTGAATTCAAACTAGAGGAAGAATAGTGGAAAATAATGCACAATTATAATATCAAATCAATTGCAGTATTTATTAAAACCTGTTCCCATTGTTTATTTCAATTTTAGGTTATACATTATGCATTTAGTATTTTCTAATGCTATTAATAAATCTTCTTGTTGCTAAATGAATAAAAATGGAGGCCTGTCCTTAAAATATTAACTCACTGTAGGTAACCAGCAGAAAGGCATACTGTAGAAGGTATTTAACAGTGTTTCCACAGCCATGGGTGACAGGATAAAACTCTGCTACAGCAAAAAAAAAGTTCATCTTGTGTTTCCTGGTGATGTAGTGATCACAGCCTATTATACATGCTCTTTAAAAAGGAAAGAAAACCTTAACTCATACCTACATTTGAAATTATTTTTTTAATATGTGAAAATTTCCTCACGTGTAATGCAACTACATTACTGCAGTAATACAAGTAAAAAGAGAAGATCTTCAATATTTAGCCTGATATCCTTAGAGATCTCTGGCACACATCACTGTAATAATGGCAAAGCTCCTCAACGTCTGCTGCAATCCCAGCCACAGGAAAGCCCACAGCTCACACAACCCTGTCTCACCAATTCATCCCATACAAACTCAGCAGTTCCCTCCTGCATCACCAATGCACTGCAAGCACGGGTCCAGATCTCCTCCACAAAGCTTTAAGTATACTCTAAATAATAATACTCTATAATACCCTTCAAGTATTATACCAAAATCTCCTCATTCCCATCCCACATTACTGATTTTACATAAAAAATCAGCATATGGTTCATCTTGAAAATTAGTTTCTGCTTATTGGTCAGCTAGTACACAAGTACAGATGGGCAAGCAAACAGTAAGACAAACTAATTAGAAGTAATATTCTATATTTTACATGTTTGTTTCCAAAACTGCCATGTATTTGACATCTAAATATCAGGGCTTTTCCCCCTCCCCCTGTTTAAAACTATTCTAAATGTCATAAAATTATTAATTATTCCTTAGTACTGTTTCCATGTATAATTCTAAGCACGTGTAAAGCCAGGAAATCCATTCCTATATGCATCTCCACACAGGCCAAGACTGAAGGGACTATTAAGACTCTGGTATGGCATAATTCATAATATCATTCAGTGAGCTCAGCCTAGAGAGTTACTTGAGCATTTTAGGGCACACAGATTTAGGTGGGAAATAAGGATGGAGTAACAGCTCCTTGACGAAAAAACTCCACTCTTCTATTTCAGATTACAATAATAAATTCTGGCTGGCCTGCTGTTGAACAGGATAGAAAGTTTCTGTGTTTATATGTCTAGCTTCTTGTACCCCTCCCAGCTTTGGAGTGTTTGCAGAGTTCTACACTTTTCATGCACTTTTTAACATAAGAGGGTAAAATTAAGATTACAAAACGCAAACCAGAATTTTCTTTTAAATCAGACTTCTAAATAAGAAAAAACTTGCCTCAGGCCCACTTCATTTTTTACTAACAGTTTAACTAGTGGTAGTGTAGTGATACACTGAGGATAATTGCAACAGCTTTTTAACTTTGGGAAGTTGTTAAGTTACTTTTCCTAGTTGCTGATAGAAAAACAGGGTAGATTAAGTTCTTAAATAGTAGTTTCACAGCTTCAAAGCTAGTATAATGCAGCTTAATCCAGTAAACAAGAAACAGAATACTTTTCCTATTATAACTGCTTACAGCTTACATAGTGTCTGGTAGCAGTGCTTTTGAACATGAGCTGGTCAAGCCACTCAGAGAGAAGGATACCTGAAACACAACCTCCTTGGGAAGGCAAGAATGGAGTCATACAATCACATCCCATTATGTCAGACACATATGGCATCCACTAGTACTAACAGGGTACTGAAGTCCCTACTGCACTCCCCAGTAAATCTGCACACAGAGATTATACTGAAAATCCATTTAATCACCATCCTCTACCAGAAGAGGAACCGCTCATTAAAATAAAACAGGCCAAAGAAAACCAAAACCACATAAAACCATCAAACGAAAAACAACAGAACAGAAAAAAATCCAGCTGTGTCTTGTAGGTCAGAGATACAAATGCATGCTCAGAAGTGCACTGGCAGTATCACAGCAGTGGACTCTCATTACTAAATCAAGAAGGGCCAAGAAGTCAGGTTTTTTAGAAGCAAACAGAAAAATTAGCAAGATATGCACAGAAAATGAATGAAGAAAGTAGGAAAAGAAGTTCCTCTGGATTTTCATCCTTGCCAATATGAGAAAACTTCATAAGAAACTTAGGCTAGAAGGCAATTCGGTTTATTTGTGATTTTTAACAGTGGGTGAAGAGTACAAGAAAGACAGTGACCATCAAGTAGGCAGATTTCATCAGTCTAGAAAAATGAGTAGGTCAAATCGCACAGAAAATTCAAACTTAAAAAAGCAAAGGAAAGAATTCAGATGAACTAGTAGTTTTCATACAGAAATTACATTATAATTTGCAATTCTGCTATTGATGGAAAGGAAGAGTAGGCAATTCAGTGAGAGATCAACTGAGCTTTGTTGAGCTCAAACAGACCAGAATAAAGAGTGCAAATTAGTTCTGATTTCTATTGATAACTTTAAGGGAACACAGCATGCAAGGACACACTCAGAAGAGGATCAAGTGCAGGATGAGACACAATTGGGAAGGGATGCCAGTGATAACAAGAGATTGCTCTGCAAACATTACTATAAGAAACACTTAAGAATGTGGTCTTGGCTTGTTACTCAACAGAGAAACAAAATTATATGCAGAGTATGAATTAATTCTAGATGTTTATTGCTTTGTTTTGGGTTTTTTTGCACTAACTTTCATCATGAATGTCGCTTGAAAGCTGCAGTTACTATTCCTTTTAGCTTACTGCTTCTAAATCATCCGGGCCAAATTTAATACCTCTGCCATTTTAAAAAGATCATAATTCTTTGCTGATATTATCATCAGCAACAGCAAGTGTCAGATAATGTATTAGTGAACAGGCTGCTGAGTGAACTGTGTGAGAGAGAAAGCTACATGAACCACGTCATAGCACAAGTGTACCTGAGGTGCAGTGGCTCCTGGTGAAGTGCATATCCATCCTATCTGTGTGACAAAGCTGTGCTCTGGAACGGAACTAACCAACTTCCAAAAAAGCCCAGGGCGTGTGCACATTCAAACAGTGGGCAGAGACAGGAGACCCAGCCCTGGAATAGAATGGGAAATGCATCAAATGACAAGATGAATCCTCGCTGCCAAGAACTAGGAAAGAATAACTAGCAAATGACACGCTGATAAAAAGACGAAGGTCAGCAACTATCTTTGAAAATAGGGTTTAAGGGACAAAAAAGTGCAGAAGACTTGTAGGCCGTTCAATCTAGAAAAGTACAGGAATAAATGAGTAATATTTAAGCACTTAGGAAAGAATAAAAAGATTACCAGTACCCAAGATGTATCAGTAGTACATCATAAGCAGTGTAATTTATTGCTGAGATGCAGTAACAGGTCTTATGGATGGATGAAAAGCAACCACTGCTGTATATTGGTATGGCTCTTGTTATGATCTCACATTCTCACCAGTGAATAAATGAGTTAGAAGAAATAAGCACCATATGAATGTGAAACTGCAAAGTTGAACTTGGGGGTAGTTATACACCAAAACAGAAGGAAAACACTGAGTTGTATTTCACAGGATTTTGTCCTGAATCTGATGCCACTTAATACTTTCATTAATAACTCAAAAGAATGGAATATATACTTACTAAACTTTCAGAGGCATAAAGTTAAGCAAATTAAAACTGTATCAAGAGAACAAGACTTCAATTCAAAATAATATTGCCCGGAGAAATGACATGAAGAACTTGAATAAGGAATAGTAAGAAGCTCTTTGCTGCATCAAGAACAATTATCTGAACCCACAGAGAATGGGGAACAACTGATTAGGGAACAGTTCTTCAGAAAGTCATCTGGGATCATACTGGATCATAAACCAAACACAACAACAACATACTGTTGCATAAAAAGTCATCATTACAATGGGACACATTACTCTAGTAACATGGATTGGAAACAGGAAAAAGCAGAATGAGAATGTGAAATCTTCACTGAAAGAAATATTTAAAAGCAAGCAGAACACTAGTCATTCTCTTTTTGGATGTTTCAGCCATGGTCCTTTCAGCCTAACATTTCTGTGATTCTATTTTGCTGGCAAAGCACAAGGAAACAAAGCTGATGTTACTTTAACTTTTGGAATTAGTAATTCTGCTGGCACATAAAATAACTTCTGCTTGCTAATCCAATAAAAGTAACAAATCAAGAAGAAAAATTTTATTTTCCTCCAACAGTGTATTAGAAAAGAGAGAGAAGCAATAAGCAGAAACAAATCAGTTGTAAAATAGTAGAGATTTGCCCAGCTTACCACCTGCACATATTGCCTAGCATATCTATACAGAAATGCTACCCATGTGTTAAGCGCCCATATGAGTATGGATAAGCTTAGCTGCAAATACAGCAGTCACATTCTT